TGTGCATGAAATAATTGTCCCTCATCATTTTAAAATCCAAATTCTTATCTCTGGCATTCATTGACAATGAGTTACCTATAGCCTTTCATAATTATAAATTTGTCCACCTCAAACAATTTTCTTCCTAAATCTGTGAACAAAAAGCTGTATCTTGACTAAAATAAGGAACAAAGTAGGGATACTAACATCTATTAACCTGTGATTTATCTAACGTTTTTGGTTCTGCTAACTTTTCAAATAAAAATATTTCCAGTATTTAGATAATCTGAAAGTTTCATATCATTTCTGAAAACTGTTTTGAGTAGGGGGGGTTCAATTATTACTTAAATTAGGTGGCATTTTTTCTAACATTTACCAAAACCTAAATATTCTAGAAATAATCTTAGAGGGCATTTTCAAATTATCGTTTAGCCTAAAATACCCAACAAGTAGCAAAGCAAATGAAGGTTTTCAGTAGTAAAACAGCTGGTCATTTATGTTAGTTCAATGTATTGGAGAAATTAGAAAAGTACACACTTCTCTTGTTACTTGTAGTATTTTTTAAATGCAAATACTTTTCTTTCCCCCCAATTTAAGAAAACAGGAAATTGATCATGAACTGACAAATACATAAAGCCCTAGCTAATATTATGAATACCTGAAGTCATCAAAATAAAGCAAATTTCATATTATATCTAGACTCAAAGGTTAAAGGTAAAATATGATTACCTCTTATTATGGCAGATTTTGGGAAACATTATATTCCTAGAGTTTATATTCTCATAGTAAGGGAGAAAATGTGAGTGTATTGAAAATAAATTTCAGGTGATATATAGCTTCCTGTTCTTATGGCAGTTTGATGGACCATTAAGGAACCTAGGCAGTTTCTACTTACAGATATTTATTACTTAAACCATATAAACTACATTATATAAATAAAACACACCTAAGATTCTTTAACCAATAAATTAAAGATGGCATGCTGAGTAATACAATCCACGTTAGTAAGTTAATCACAGTACTGTGCATGCAAAGATAAGTTGCAGAAGTATTTATTTTGACCCTACTTAAAACAGCAATAAAATCACAACAACATGAAAAAGGAACCATCCCTAATTCCTAACGGGAGCATGTAAGGTAAGACACTAAATATATTTAAAAGAAAAAGAGCAGGAAAGACTATCACCTTTTTACTTTGAAAATAGAGAAATTGAGAATAAGAGCTGTAAGAAACTTGCCTAAGGCCATAGACCTATTAAATGGCAGAGGCAATATTTACGCCTTCCATCTGCCTGATTCTAGAATATCTGAAAATATCTGCTAGAATCAACAGAAAAGGCTCCCAGAGAGAACAACTAGTAAATGAAAAGTCAAACTTTATTATGGAGAATTTTAAACACACATTTAAGTAGACAAATAGTAAAATGAACCTCATGTACCTGTCACCCAGCTTCAAAAATTATCGATTCATGACTAATTTTACTTCACCTATAATCCTATTCACTGCCACTCCTGAAATTTTGAGAGATAATCTTAGACATCCTATCTTTCAAAAATAGCTTTTTAAAGAAAAAGACATTATTATAATCCTAATAAGTAATACCCATAATTAAGAAAATAAAAATAATATACTTGCATATGAACTATATCTGCATATAGAACCTTATTACTATTATGGTTTTACCTTTAGGAATAATCAAAGTAATCAGGACTAAAGAGAGCATTTTTCAGACATAAAAGGGTGACAAAGATCAGGAATAGATGTTATTGAAAGATTAAACTACCATACCTTGATTTTATTGTAACAGTGTAAGTATTTCCAAGAATTGCCATAGTTGGAATAAGGATAAATGCCAAAGGCTTACATGGATCAGGATTCAGTTTAAAGTAATACCTATGTCAAAGAGAAAAAAATAAAACATAAGTCAACAAAGCTCACTTGGTTATTTTAAATTATCAGAATCAATCAAATTGAATTTTAAAACATACCAATAGCAATATGGATATATGAGGGCTCTAAATGGCTCATGGAATACTTAATAATTTTTGTTCTAAATCACCTTTATACCCAAGGTTGTATATATGGAGAATTATGTTCAGAAACTACTAAAAGAAATGAAAATATCTAATATGGAAGCACTTCGTTTTTATAATAGGTATATGCTTGAAAGGTCATATATAATTATTTTTATGAAACAAATTATTTAAAATATATTAAGGTTACTCTATTAAAAATATGAAAAAAGGAAGTTGTGCATGAAATAATTGTCCCTCATCATTTTAAAATCCAAATTCTTATCTCTGGCATTCATTGACAATGAGTTACCTATAGCCTTTCATAATTATAAATTTGTCCACCTCAAACAATTTTCTTCCTAAATCTGTGAACAAAAAGCTGTATCTTGACTAAAATAAGGAACAAAGTAGGGATACTAACATCTATTAACCTGTGATTTATCTAACGTTTTTGGTTCTGCTAACTTTTCAAATAAAAATATTTCCAGTATTTAGATAATCTGAAAGTTTCATATCATTTCTGAAAACTGTTTTGAGTAGGGGGGGTTCAATTATTACTTAAATTAGGTGGCATTTTTTCTAACATTTACCAAAACCTAAATATTCTAGAAATAATCTTAGAGGGCATTTTCAAATTATCGTTTAGCCTAAAATACCCAACAAGTAGCAAAGCAAATGAAGGTTTTCAGTAGTAAAACAGCTGGTCATTTATGTTAGTTCAATGTATTGGAGAAATTAGAAAAGTACACACTTCTCTTGTTACTTGTAGTATTTTTTAAATGCAAATACTTTTCTTTCCCCCCAATTTAAGAAAACAGGAAATTGATCATGAACTGACAAATACATAAAGCCCTAGCTAATATTATGAATACCTGAAGTCATCAAAATAAAGCAAATTTCATATTATATCTAGACTCAAAGGTTAAAGGTAAAATATGATTACCTCTTATTATGGCAGATTTTGGGAAACATTATATTCCTAGAGTTTATATTCTCATAGTAAGGGAGAAAATGTGAGTGTATTGAAAATAAATTTCAGGTGATATATAGCTTCCTGTTCTTATGGCAGTTTGATGGACCATTAAGGAACCTAGGCAGTTTCTACTTACAGATATTTATTACTTAAACCATATAAACTACATTATATAAATAAAACACACCTAAGATTCTTTAACCAATAAATTAAAGATGGCATGCTGAGTAATACAATCCACGTTAGTAAGTTAATCACAGTACTGTGCATGCAAAGGCTATCTTCAGCATCACTGGCAGATAAATGAAGATGGTGTCCTGTAGAGTCTTTATGGTGATTGGATTTTTTTTCACTTCTTCTAGAGTGTTTAGGATTCTGTAAAGCAGTAAGGTAAAAATAGTAAGATATTAAAAAGAATTGAAGTTTATCATTTTATTTAGAATCATATTCAATCACTTAACAGCTAAATAAATACATTTCTATTACCAAACTGATACAAAATACACAAAATACTGAAATTATTCTGTTTAAAAGTACTTTCAAGTGGTCATCAGTTACAGAACTTTTATTCCTTTGACTAGCTATTTGCATTGCTGAAAATATATCTTCTAAGTAATTATAAGAAATATTTTTAAAAATTTTCAATAAAAAAATGAGGTAAGTATTGACAAAAATCAAATTACACTTAGACAATCAAGTCTATTTTAATATTCATTAGGTTCACTTTTCTTAAAGTTTCATAAATTTATAATACCTTTTGAACACTATAAAATCCTAACCCTTTTTTAAAGAAAATGTTGTTCTTCCCCATATTCTTTCATAGCAAAGTGATGCAGAATTTTGAAAATAAAACTTACCACAGTCTGCCTATTTTTAAAAGTTGTTAGGCTGGCTTGGAGATGAACAATCTAAGAGAAGGAAATGATTGTTAAATTTTACTCCTATTTTTAAACAATTTTATTAAAAATGTATCATTTTTATTTAAACTGGCAAGCACTGATTCTCATATATAAAAAATAAACTACAAATTCATTTAAAAACTTAAAAATACTTTCAGAAAAGGTAGTAATAATTACCACATATTAAATACCATATGCTTGCTATCATGGATTAAAAAGCCAAAACAAAATAATGTAAACTTACAGAGTATGCTGTGCCCAGAATATATTGCTATACCTTCTAAATTACATGATCCTATGTCTCTTGAGTATACCTTGCTATAGCAACTTAAAGTGTCTTGTAAAATATTTGATTATATTCAGTACAGTATAAGGAATTTAACATGTTTTATATATTCTAAATCATTGAATATCTCAACTCAGTTATATATGGTAGTGAAATGTTTACAAGAACTTGAGAAAGTCTGTAAATTTATTATGTTTATTTAAGCTAGGTAAGTAAGGTCTGCTTATTGTGTCAGTTGTTTGAAATACCCAATTTAAAAAGCTAAAAATATATTTATAAGTAGCTCTAAACAGTTTTTTCTGATGGACATAAATTTCCTTTGGAAAACTGAAAACAATCTATAATGTGCATGGATTAGTGTTAAAAGCAGATGCAAATAAACTTTAATTTAAAGAAAAAAAATTATTATCCATTCTAATATCAACTTCTTTACATAAGATTCATGTGGAAAGTATGCGGTGTATAACCTTGATTTTCTTGAAAAGCTGTCAGCCTTCTTGGGAGTGTTTTTTCCTTCCACAGTAAAATTACCAGCCTTACTATTTTCAATTTTCTGATTCTTCAACATTTGTAATATTCTACATTATCTCAACATGATTGATGTCTTGATCCCACTAATACAATTTTGTTTTGTCTATTACACATTCAAAGGGAGGTGTGAACATTACTTCCAAGAGCATGAAGCAATGTAAAACAGATTTTATCTTCTCCCTTCCTTTTGTTCTTTAAATTTTAAAATCTTTTTTTTAAAGTATCATTGATATACAATCTTATGTTTGTCTCAAATATACAACACAGTGATTCAACAGTTGCCCATATTATGAAATCTCTGCCCCTCTAGTGTTGTCACTATCTATCAGTGTAGTAAGATGTTACAGGAACATTAACTGTGTTCCCCATAACGTACTATCGTACTTGTGACCAACATATATTATGATTGTGAATTATTGTGCCTCCCTTTATCCCCTTCACCATCCCCAACAACCCACCCCAAACACTCCTCCTTGGTAACCACCAGTCACTTCTCAGTGTCTACAGTCTACTACTGCTTTCTTCCTTATGTTATGCTTTGTTTCTATATACCACAAATAAGTGAAATCATGTGGTATTTGGCTTTCTCTGCCTGGCTTATTCACTGAGCATTAATAAACTCTAGATCCATCTATATTATTAAAAATGAGAGGCTTTCTTTTCTTTTTATGGCTGAATAATATTCCATTGCATATATGTACATCTTCTTTAGCCATTCATCTACTGATGGATACTTAGGTTGCTTCATTATCTTGGCAATTGCAAATAACATAGGAGTGCATGTCTTTCGAAACAGGGATTTTGTTTTTTTTTTCAGGTTAATTCCTAGAAGTGAAATTACTGGGTCAAATGGTATTTCTATTTTTTGTTTTTTGAGGAACTTCTGTATTGCTTTCACAATGACTGCACCAATTTACATTACCACCGAGTGTAGGAGGAGGGTTCCCATTCCTTCACATCCTTGCCAGCATTTGTTATTTCTTGTCTTTTGGATAGTGACCATCCTAACTGGTGTAAGAGGATATTGAATTGTGGTTTTAATTTGCATTTCCCTGATGATTAGTGATATGGAGCATCTTTTCATGTGCCTGTTGGCCACTTGCATTTCTTTGGAGAAGTGTGTTTAGAACCTCTGCTTAAACAGGTTATTTGTTTTTTCAGTGTTGAGCCATATGAGTTATTTATATATTTTGGTTGTTAAACCCTTATCAGATGAGTCATTTGTGAATATATTCTTCCATACTGTAGGCTGCTTTTGTTCTACTGATGGTGTCCTTTGCTGTACAGAAGTTTTATAGTTTGATGTATTGCTATTTGTTCATTTTTTATTCTGTTTCTCTTGCCTGAGATGTGTCCAGGAAAAAGCTGCTCATGCTTATAGTCAAGAAATTTTTGCCTATGTTTTCTTCTAAGAGTTTTCTGAGTTACATTCATTTCAGGTGTACTTTTGTGTATGGAGTTAGATAATAATCCAGTTTCATTCTCATACATGTAGCTCCATTTACAATGTAGCTGTCCAGTTTTGCCAACACCAGTTTGTTGAAGAGGCTGTCTTTTCCCCACTGTATATCCATGGCTCCTTTATTGTAAATTATTTGGCCGTGTATGTGTGGGTTTATATCTGGGCTCTCTATTGTTTCACTGATCTATGGGTCTGTTCTTGTACCAGTATCAAATTGTCTTGATTACTGTGGCTTTACTGTAGCAGAGCTTGAAATCAGGGAGCGTAATCCCCCCAGCTTTATTCTTCCTTCTCAGGATTGCTTTGGCTATTTGGGGTTTTTTGTGGTTTCATATGAATTTTAGAACTATTTGTTGTAGTTCACTGAAGAATGTTGCTGATATTTTGATAGGGATTGCATTGAATCTGTATTGCTGGCAAGATGGCCATTTTGACAATATTAATTCTTCCTATCCATGAGCATGGTATAGATTTCCATTTATTGGTATCTTCTTCAATTTCTCTCATGAGGGCCTTATAGTTTTCAGAGTAAATGTCTTTCACTTCCTTGGTTAGGTTAATTCCTAGTTATTTTATTCTTTCTGATGTAATTTTAAATGGAGTTGTTTTCCTGATTCTAGGAATGCAACAGATTTCTATGTATCAATTTTATATCCTGCAACTTTGCTGAATTCAGTTGTTAGTTCTAATAGATTTCTGATGGAGTCTTTAGGGTTTTCTATGTATAAGGTGTCATCTGCAAATAGTGACAGTTTTAATTTCTTCCTTACCAATTTGGATGCCTTTTCTTTGTGTTGTCTCATTGCCAAGGCTAGGACCTCTGGTACTATACTGAATAAAAGTGGTGAAAGTGGGCATCCTTGTCTTCTTCCTGATCTTAGAGGTAAAGTTTTTCAGCTTTTTATTACAGAGTATGATATTGGCTGTGGGTTCATCATATATGGCTATTATTATGTTGATGTACATACCCTCTATACCCATTTGGTTGAGTCTTTATCATGAATAGATGTTGAATTTTGTCAGATGTTTTTTCAGCATCTATTGAGATGACATGATTTTTGTCCTTTTTGTTAATGATATTGATTGATTTATGAATATTGTACCATCCTTGCATGCCTGGAATAAATCCCACTTGGTCATAATGGATGATCTTTTTGACATATTTTTGGATTTGGTTTGCGAATATTTTGTTGAGAATTTCTGCATCATCCTGTTCATCAGGGATATTGGTATACAATTTTCTTTTTGTGTGGTGCTTTTCATTTTGGTATTAGAGTGATGGTGGCCTCATAGAATAGTTCAGAAGTATTCCCCTCTTCTACTTTTTGGAATACTTTAAGAAGGATGGGTATCAACTCTTCTTTAAATGTTTGATAAAATTTAGCTGCGCACATGAAAAGATGCTCCACATCGCTAATCATCAGGGAAATGCAAATTAAAACCACAATGAGATATCACCTCACACTAGTTAGGATGGCCAACATCCAAAAGACAAGGAACAAAAAATGCTGGCAAGGATGTGGAGAAAGGGGAACCCTCCTACACTGCTGGTGGGAATGTAAACTAGTTCAAACATTGTGGAAAGCAATATGGAGGTTCCTCAAAAACTAAAAATAGAAGTACCATTTGACACAGGAATTCCACTTCTAGGAATTTACCCGAAGAAAACAAGTTCACAAATTCAAAGAGACATATGCACCCCTACATTTATAACAGCACAATTTACAATAGCCAAGACATGGAAGCAACCTAAGTGTTCATCAGTAGATGAATGGATAAAGAAGATGTGGTACATATACCCTATGTAATACTGTTCAGCCATAAGAAGAAAACAAATCTACCATTTGCAACAACATGGATGGAGCTAGAGGGTATAATGCTCAACGAAATAAGCCAGGCACAGAAAGACAAGTACCAGATGATTTCACTCATCTGTGGAGTACAACAACAAAGCAAAACCAAAGGAACAAAACAGCAGCAGAATCACAGACTCTAAGGGACTAGCGGTGACCAAAGGGAAAGGGGGTGGGGGCGGCAGGCAGGCAGGGAGGCAGAAGGGGATTAAGGGGTATTAAGATCAGCACACATAATGTAGGGGGGTCATGGGGAAGGCAAGTGAAGCACAGAGAAGACAAGTAGTGACTCTATAGCATCTTACTATGCTGATGGAGTAACTAATGGGGTATGTGGTAGGGACTTGATTATAGGGGGGAATGTAGTAACCACAATGTTGCTCATGTGAAACCTTCATAAGACTGTATATCAATGATACCTTAATTTTAAAAAAAAGTGAAAAAAAATTCATCCGTGAAGCCATCTGGACCTCAAGTTTCATTTTCAGGAAGTTTTTTGATTACCAATTCAATTTCATTGCTGATAATTGGTCTGCTCATTTTCTGTTTCTTCCTGGGTCAGTGTTGGAAGGTTGTATTTTTCTAGAAAGTTGTCCATTTCTTCTAAGTTGCCCAATTTATTGGCATATAACTTTTCTATGTATTCTCTAATAATTCTCTAATAATTCTTTGTATTTCTGTGGTGTCCGTTTCCTTCTTCCTTTCTGATTTTATGTGCATACTCTTTTTTTCTTGGTAAATTAACCCCCTGGCTAGGGGTTTAACTATTTTGTTTATTTTCTCAAAGAACCAGCTCCTGATTCCACTGATATTTTCTATTATTCATTTCTATTTATTTCTGCTCTGATCTTTATTATGTCCCTCTTTCTACTAACTTTGAGCTTCATTTGTTCTTTTTTAGTTTCTTTAATTTTGAGTTTAGACTATTATTTATTTGGGATTCTTCTTGTTTCTTGAGGTAAGCCTATATTGCTATGTACTTTCCTCTTATAACTGCCTTTGCTGCATCCCAGATTTTGTAATGTATTGTTCAGTGCCTGTGTTTCCTTACTTATTTTCTGTCTGATCTATTGATGTGAGTATTGTGTTAGGTGTTAGTCTCCTAAAATTAATGTGTTGCAGTCTATATCCCCATTAATTGTTAGTATTGGTTTTACATATTGAGGTGCTCCTATGTTGGTGCATATGTATCTTCTTCAACTGAATCCTTGATCATTATGCAATGTCATCTTTGTCTCTTGTTACTTTGTTTTGAAATTTATTTTATCTGACATAAGTACTGCTACTCCTGCTTTTTTTCACCTATTATTTGCATGAACTATCTTTTTCCATCCCTTAACTTTTAGTCTGTGTATGTCTTTGGGTCTGAAATGAGTCTCTTTTAGGCAGCATATAGATGGGTCTTGTTTTTTTTATCCATTCTGTCACTTTACATCTTTTGATTGGTACATTCAGTCCATTTACATGTAAGGTAATTATTGATAGGTATGTACAATTGCCATTTTATTGTTTTCTGGTTGTTTTCATAGCTCCTCTCTGTTCCTTTTTTTCCTTATACTCTTCTCTTGTTATGTGATGGATTTCTTCACTGTTGCGGTTTCATTTTTCTTTCTTTAGTTTTTGAGTATTTCTTGTGGTCTTTAGTTCTCTGGTTACCAAGGGTTTAAGGATGGCTTTCTTAATATATTACAGTGTACCTTAAATTGCTGATTACTATATTTCAAACACAATCTACAGGTACTTTTTTTCCCTCCTTTTTCTTCCTCCCCCACACTTTATGTATTAATGTCATAATATGCACTTTTTGTGTATCCCTTGACTGTTTTGCAAGTAGTTGGTTTTGGTTTTTTTTATTTTGTACTTGTTTGGTAATTAATCAGTCCACTACCTTTATTGTGGGTTTACTTTCACTGTGCTATTTAGCCTTATGGTAATTTCCATTTACAGCAGTCCCTTTAACATATCCTGTATGGCTGGCTCAATAGTGGTGGTGAAACCTTCAACTTTTGTTTACCTGAAAATTGATTAATCCCTGCTTCAAATTTAAACAGTAATCTTGCTGGGTAGAAGATTCTTGGTTGAAAGTCCTTCTGTTTCATTACATTAAACATGTCATGCCAGCCCCTTATGGACTGTGAAGTTTGTGCTGAGAAGTCTGCTGAGAGCCTGATGGGATTTACTTTATAAGTAATCTTTTTTTCTCTCTGGCTGCTTTCAGTACTCTCTCCTTAACCTTGATCTTTGCCATTTTAATTACGTCTTGGTGTTTTCTTCCTGAGGTTCCTTTTCTTAGGGGCTCTCTGTGCTTCAATGACCTGAGTGTATATTTCATTCCCTGGATTGGGGAAGTTTTCTAAAATTATTTCCTCTAAGACTTTCTATCCCTTTGTCTCCCTATTTTCCTTCTGGTACCCCTATTATGTGAATATTGTTCTGTTTGGATTGGTCACACAGGCCTCTTCTTATTCTTTCATTCCTAGAAATCCTTTTTTCTGTTTTTTGGCTTCATTGTTTTCCTGTTCCCTAATTTCCATTTCATTTACAGCTTCTTCAACATGTAATAATGTGCTATTAATTCCCTCCATTGTATTTTTCATTTCAGATACTGTGCTCTTTAGCTCTGTGTGGCTCTTTTGCAGGTCTTCTCTTTTTGCTGAGGTCCTCCCTGAGATCTTGAATATTTTTCTGTAGATCTGTGAGCACATTTATTACTTACTTTAATCTCTTTATCAAGAAGATTGGTGATTTGTTTCATTCAGCTCTTTTTCTTCCGTTTTTGTCTTGTAGTTTTGTTTAGGACATATTCCTCTGCCTCCTCATTTTGTTAGGGTTTCTGTGTTTCTTCTTATGGAGTAATCGCTTTCTGAAAGAGGAGCCCTCCAGTGCCCAGAAGCTCAAGACTGTTTACTTTCCAATGCAGGAGCCTGAGCTGTTGGTGTGCAGTGGGCAAGGCTGCCTTTCTGTCTGGCTTATAATGGCCTGATTCTAGGTGGGCAGTGTGTTTCAGCTACACCTTTTTGATCAGCATAGAAGTCTCTGATGGAATTGCTGTGGTGGGGCCACCCCCTGCCTGCCCACAGCAACAGTAGGGGCTGCAGGGTAAATGGGTTGGGTGAGCTGATGTGCAGCTCAGCCCAGGCCCATAACATAAGACCTGATGCCCTTGGGGCTGGCTCCTGCAGGCACCTCCCCAGATGAGGTGAAACAGAGCCAAGAAAGCTGGGAGGGTCTCCCTCTGCCTACCAGGCAGCAACATCTGACACTACTGCCAGGCCAAATGGGTTGTTTGCCAGCTGCATGTGCAGGGAGGAGCCTTGGGGCTGCATTGTCAGCAAGGAGAATGGAGCATATGGGTCTCCTGAGAGTTCCTGACCTGCTGGGTCGAGGGTGGGCTGGGGAGGTATCATCTACTTGCCCTTTTCCCTGGGAAGAGAGCTCCATTTAAAACTTGCCCCTCTGATACCCCTCCCACTGCTGGGAAGTATTTCAAACTGCCCGTTTTGCTTTTGTCTCTGGAGGCGGGGGGCAGTGGAGCTTCCTGTTCTCCACAAGTGGCTAGAAGCTCAGCCTTCCTGAGTGCTCTACCTGTCTTTGTTGTCCAGCTCCACTAATCACCAGAACACTATGTAATGTGGGCTTGTGCTCCTGAATAAAATCTCCAGGGCCAGGTGTTCAGCAATCTTGGGCTCCTACCCACTCCCAACTCTGTTCCTCTTTCTCCCACCTGTAGGCTGGCATTGCAGGATGGATTGGGTCCCACCCGATTGGCTTTGCCACTTCACCCTTCTCTATGAGGCCTTCTCTTTTTCCCCAGATGTAGGTAATCTGTTCTGCAGTCTTCAGGTTGTTTTCAGGTTTAGTTATATTTCCTGTATCTTCATGTTTTATGTGTTTTTGGAAAGAGGTTTCCGCCTTGCCTTCCTTCTCCACCATCTTTTCCTCCCCACCCCTCCCTTCCTTTTGTTCTTTTAAACTAACAACTCAGATAAATAATTTCAGTTCTATATATAACTGTATTTTAAATAACTAAGGAGTTAGAAAACATTTTATACTAAAACCTGTTATATAACAGAAAGTTACTGCAGCAGTAATTAAAACTTTTGTTAACAGCACCTATAGGCAATTCTATGCAAGCCTGATATAAAGCCCAGCCATTCTAACTTTATTGATTTGACATACCTTAAAGACATAGTAAAGATAAGTAAGAAGTATGGCAAATGCTCCACAAGTTGTCCAACTAACTATGATCAGAACAACAGTCAAAAAGGGCAAGTCTGGTGATATCATCTTGATATCTTTAGGAAGTTCAGAGGGCCTGGAAAAACAAGAATAAAGCTTTTAAAAGAATATTAAGTTATTTATACATCCACATATAAGAAGAAAACAATACAGTACTCTGCCAGGCTCTCCTGCTTATTAATATGCAAGTACTGTAAGGGAAACAGTAAGGTATTTTTCAATAAAGGCAAGTGGTGATATATTTGACTGTAAATTCTGTAATACACTGGGATAGCCCTACTCCTAGTTAGATAGAGCAGATATTTGTACTAAGAAAGAAAAAATGTTGTTAAAGATAATCATTAGGTTTAGGCTCTGTACCATATATTTTTTATCTTGATAAGAGGAAGAATGGTTTTCTATTAAAATCTCAAGATAACTGAGATGCATGACAGTGTTAATATCAGAAACATCTTGAAGGGTAGATGAAGAAGCACCAAACCATAATCCCTTCTGTGACAATAAATCACAGAAGTAATTTTAAACACGTCTGGTGAAGAGGAGTGGCAAAACCATTAAATGAGTGGTTTACCAGAAAAGCCAACTAATAACTTGAAACTATGCCTTTGGCCCTATAACAAAATTCTCAGCAATGTTTTTGGAGCTTATAAACATTTAATCTAATTTGATCCTAAATATCTTGATTGGGAATGTCTAGTCCTCTGGTTAGGTTGAAAGTCAGCATATAAAAGCATTGCCAGAGATAGACTTCCTCCTTGGAAAGATTTACTAACAGTGAAATTTAAAAGTACTTGTGTAATCTGTCAAACTATTTTGATAAACTCTTGAGCATTAAGGTCAAAATCAAATGTAGCATTTAACTTGCAGTAAATGATTACCTTTGACAAAAACATACCTTTTAACGTTAATCCGTATTTTGCTAGTTATGCACCTTTCCTTAGAAATTACAGTTTAGTGAAGCAAATTAATTTTAAGGTTCCCTGTCAGAATATGTTTTTCTTAATTAAGAGCAATGAGAAAGCTTTTAGTCACTCATACTTTACCTTTTCAAAGCTAGCCACAGTGAAGAAAGGAGTCTCACAGATGTAGAAGAGAATAGGCCACCCCAGTAGGCAATACATGTTCCAAATAGAAAGAGAATCAAGGATACAAGGGGAAAACACATGCTCTGACTAGTTAAAACAATGGCATCTAATTCTGGTAACAACAATGCATCCCATAATTCTTTAAACCATTTATACCTGTGGATAAAAGAAAACACATAATAAAAGCAAAAAAAACCAAAACAGTAACAAATGACATTAAAGGATTTAATATTTGAGATATCTGACCATTCATGAGAGTCCCCAAAGTTCCATTATACTTAATTTGCAATTACACCAAAAAATGAATTTTAATTCCTTGTAGGGAACAAATCATTTATCTTCTAAGTGAGTCTACTTATCTTCAAGGATCTGAGTCCTGAGTCTCAACACAGATTTTAACTGATCTCTATCGATCCTTTTAATGAAGTGGTAAGTGGTTAAATTTTTAAGCTAAAAAGCCAATAGCTAGTTGGAATGACAAGAAAAGAGATAAGTAATGATTCTTAAACAAAAAGCACAAAATAGGAACAAATTAAGAGTGGAATGTTAAGTGGGGTAGAGAAATTTAAATACACTTTGTATGAGAAATAAGAATAAGAAAAGCAATTTGAGGCACTGTTTCATCAGTTTTCCTATCATGATTTGTGTTAAAAAATATGTGATCCTTAGAGATAATGGACCATATACATCTTTCCAAATGTTACAGACTGGTATATTTACAGTCTAAATTTACATAGATATATATCTAAGTTCAATAATTACTTTTGAAATAGTTATACTATTGAGTTAAATGTTAATATACTTATTAGGCCTTTGCCTAAGAGAAAAATCTGATTTAATGAAACAAATAAATTTCCATATTTGTATGAAAATTTATATTCCATTCATATGCCAAACATGTTTTATGTATAAAAGAAAATTAAAATCATTATCACAGATAATAAAACTTACCCCAACAGAAACTTAATCATAATTACAAAAGGATCAACTTTGTATGGTTTGGCTTCTTTATCCAACATTGTAGCATATTCTAAGCAATGTCCTGGTGATTAAAAAATCCATATGAAGTAGGAATTCACAGTAATTAAGTATGAGACATATTAACCCTACGTCGTATGTAAGAGCAACATATTTCATGTCAGAGAAAACAGGGTCTCTTTTACTATCACAGAGACTCTCTGAAAGATTAAAAATTTCTATAATTCAATGGTTTTCATGTAAGATTACATACTCAATCACTTGTGAAACAAATTCAGGAAGCCAAAGCTGGGGTTTCACTATTTGTATTTTCACAAAGCTCTACAGGTAATTTTTTAAACAACTTTATTATAGAGATATAATTCTCATACCATATAATTCATCCATTTAAAATGTATATAGTTCAGTGCTTTTTAATACAGTCATAGAGTTGAGCATCCATCACCAAAATCAGTCTGAGTACATTCTTATTTCTCCCCAAAAGAAACTCTGTTCCTCTTAACTGTCAACTCAAATGCTTCCCCATTCATTCCTAGGCAACCACTAATCTACTTTCTGTTTCAGTAGACTGGTCTCTTCTGAACATTTCATATACATGGAATCATATAACATGTGATCCTTTGTGACTGGCTCCTTTCACTAAGCATGTTTCCAAGATTCATCCATGTTGTAGCATTCATCACCACGTTTTATTTGTCTGTTCATCAGCTGATGCACATTTGGAGTTTCCTGTTCTTGGCTATTATGAGTGGTACTCCTGTGAACATTTAGGTACAAATTTAGTGGTATATGTTTTCATTTCTCTTGGGTATATACTTAGGTGTGCAGCTGCTAAGTCATATAGTAACTGTTTAACCATCTGAGGAACTGCCAGACTGCTTTCCAAAGCTGCTATACCCACCAGCAGCTTATATCTACATAGTCCAAAGAGACCCCAGGATATATGATACTGGTTAATCTAGAGAATTTAAGTATGGGATTACATCTCAGATTAAACAAGTAGTTCTGAAACAAGGGTGCTTATCAAAAACCACCTCTGGATAATACTCAGTAGAAAGACTATAATAAAAAATATAATAATAGGTGTTACCAAGGGTGTGGAGAAATTGGAAACTTCATATGCTGCTGGTGGGAATGTAAAATTTCAAACTTTCAAAAAAGACATTTATATTCAAGTATGGTTAATGTCCTATTGCTAGAATAATCTCTTAATTAAAAGGTTAGATCTTGGCAGATCACAGTGAATGTTGCTTCCTTCTTGGAATACAGGTTAGATCAGGTTAAAATGAAAACTAAAGGCAGATGTGAAATTGTAAAATGTCACTGAAAGGGAATAAGTAGCTGAGGAAGGATATGATATATGGCAAGACTGTAATGGTGGAGGGGACTTGAACTGCTTTTATATATTTTGGCCCCACTCTCTTTTCCCATCTCTTGCCTCCCCTGACTACTGTCTAAGCCCAACAAGTGTGTGAGGGTCTTACAAATTTAGGTTCCTGGGAAACTGTTCTACTGTTATACTCTAGGGAAGGTTTTGTCCAATGAGCTATATATTCTATGTCTGCCTCTCCAGATCTATTTTCCACCCCTTATTTTTGCTCTGATTTCTGGGAGTCTGACTTTTATGGACTGGTTTCTTGTTAGGTTCAGTGAATGAGAGGCACTGGAAGATAAGAGGAAATAGGTTAATGTATGTATTTCCCTGCCTTTTCCCCTGCTGAGCAGCAGGCTGACAGCGGTTGCAGCTGCAGGAACATTGCCCTCTCCTATTGCTCTTCAGGTTTGTTCCCTCCCTTCCCTGGTAGCTAGAAGTATCCGATGGCTCCACTACTAAGCTAGCACTTTCTCATTTCTTATTGAATTCCCTTAACCCTACATGTACCTTTGAAATAGCCCCTTCATTAGACTCTCAATTATTCCATTCAGTGTGTCAGAAGCTGATTCAGCCTATATATTAAACTAAGTGCCTACTATGTGCTTGGCACTATGTTAGGCACATTTCTAACAGAACAGAGAACAAGATCCCTGTCAATGAGCCTCTACCTCCTAAGAGGTCCTCAAAACACAGGGAAGAACTTGAGGCACGACAGTATAAGATGGAGAGAACAAGTAAGTAATTTCCTTAGGGATTCTCTTAAAACTTAGAGGATCTCAAACCCTGTAAATTTGGGAGGGATGGGCTGTAAATTTTTAAGAAATTGATGTAACTTCACTGGCCACATTAAGGATAAAATAGTAGTAATGAAACAGCCAGGGAGGAAGGTGGGAGGGAGAGAGAGAGAAAGGAATAGAAACATTCTTACCTGTTGAGAAAAGGGAGTATAACTGCCCTCCATAAGCAAGAAGGATACTAGATATAACATAAGCAGGAAGAGCTCCACCATGAAATCTAACTACCTAGAAAATAGGCAAATCAATTTCTGAATATTCATGTTAATGAAATGAATGTACTTTCACATGAAATAAAAATGTCATTCTTTACTTTCTATCTTTTCTGACATGGCCACAAAGTATTTCCAGCAATGGGTATCAAAACTCTTAAGTTAAATAAATGTTAATATATAGCATATTAGAAACATTTCATCTGAATTTTTCACCAAAGGCATAATGAAGAGAATATACAATTGAGAAGCATATCCTACAAACCTTTTATGTTTATTGAGTATTTAATATGTTCCACATAAGATAATAAATATATTCATTATCTCATGCTTTCTCCCAAAAATTCTTTGAGATAATTCTTATCCCTATTTTATAGATGAAGAAATTCAGGCACAGAGAGCCCAAGTAACCTGCATAATTAAAAATGTAATAGACAAGCAAGTTCCTTACTTGCCACCTGTTATGTCCTCATCAGTAAAATGGGGGTAATAACAATACTTACCCTGTGGATGATTTTAAGGATTAAAGATGTTCATTTGTGTAAAGCATTTAGAATACTCACTTGAACATGAGAAACTATCAGAAAATATTGGCTGCTATTATTAAGCTTTTATGTCCTTTACTATCTTTGGAGACCTTGTAGAATGGGATTAAACTTGGAGCCTAAGTTCATAACCATTATGTAATAGTGGTTATCAAGTCATTCTATCAGTTGATCCAATCTCTGTGAAAACATACATATAACAAAAGTAAAGTGCTAAGTTCTTTTAATGTTAAAGTTTTAAAAGGAAATTACTTTAAAGCATGTTCTCCATCCTACAGAACTTTTTAGAAAACTGAAAAAGTATGTCTATTTTTAGACATACTAAAAATACAATGGCATGAATTATTGCCTTATATTTCAAGAGAATTTTTCTTATTAATTGGTCCCTTATCATTTTAGAGTATCTAAATATTCATGATGCTATTTTCCAACTTATACTAATATTTAATCTTCTCTTTCTAATATAGTATGAAATTTTTACACATTAACTTAGAATTTTCTTATGTTCACAAATTTAATAATCACAATCTAGCTCTCACCACTTTGTTGTGAGGATCAATGAGATAATGCACATTTTTTAAGTTTCTGATTTAATATTGATTTGCGAGTTTTATTAAAATTACAGAATCAAATAATTTAAAATTTAAAAATTCTGCTATGCTGGACTGCAAAACACAACAGATCAAAAAATAAAGTGAAAGTAATAAAAGACACAATAAAAATTTTAGTGAATTTTAAAACTATATAATTTATTTGACTAATCAACATTAATTATGTTCAGGTTGTACATTCTACAAATTATAATGATGTTGAAAGGCAATAAAATTTAGTAGTTCTACTACCTGACAAATTATTTCTGTAATACTATTTGCTTAACAATTATAGAAAAATACTCCCCAAATGAATTTAAACTGTTTCAACTTGTTTGTTTAATATAAATTTCCTTTTATCTTTTGTAAACTAAGCATGCACAACATAAAAAGTTCTTTGAAAATGACAACACATGTGACAGTCCATAGAAATTTACTGAACTAGAAATTATAGTATAGAATAAGCAACATGAAATCTTAACATGACTTTCATTTAACCAAAAATATTAGTTTGCTTGAGAACCAGGAATCAGCTCTTATTTCTAGGAAGTATCAAACACGAAAACATCACCTTAAAGTCAGTGGTGGCCAACTATGGCCTGCATGCCAAAAATGGCTTTTAGATTTTATTAAAGTGGAAAAAAGAAGAAAAAAAGAAAATGAAGAAGAAAGCAGCAGCTGCAGTAATGGCAGCAGCAGGAAGTGACTATATGTGGTCTGCTAAAATATTCATTATCTGGCTGTTTACAGAAAAGTTTTGCAACTGTGTCTTACACTATTTATTCATAAGTCAATAAATAATCAACCAAGAGTCTCTCTTACCTGTCCAAGTATTTGTGAAAAGGAAGTCTTAACTGTCACCTAGTTTGAAACAATCATTAAAAACAGGTTATTTTCCCCAAACTCCTTTAAAAGGTTCACATTTTATTAAATTGAGCACTTCCATATGTCTCTAAACACAATCACTAATTTTTTTTTAAATGGTCAACATAAAGGCACTCAAAATCTTAAAAGAATCCTCTGAACCATCAACATTTAATTTGTATTAAGTGTGGTTTTACTTTTTTTCACTCTTTTTCCCATATTCTAATTCTTTGAGAACTGGATGAATGTTATGGTATATGTGGTAACCTTTTACTAACTAGAATATTTAATTAACCAGAATATTATTTTACCACATCATGCAGCTAATGAACTTATTGAACTGAGTCTAGAAACTTTACATATGTTCGCTGAAAAATTAAGCATAAATTAATCAACCTACTAAAAATCTAGTACTTTAAGATCTCAAACCTACAATTGTATAGCACTAACTGCAGTTAAGCTAAACCACTTCTAAGAAAATTTAATAAAAACAGGTTTCACATGACATAAGACAAGGAACAAAGAGCACATTTAGCAAAATTTAAGCCAAAGCAGTATTTTAAAAAGAAACTCATTACTAATTATATCTACCATAAATACACCTGTTTGATATTAGGAAGTCTGGGAAAAAGACAGAAATCTTTCACAGGAAGTTATAAAATGACTACATTTTGTAAAAAAAATTTACTTTTTGGAAGTATAACATATTTGTAAAAAAAATGGACATTTTGAGAGCATATAGTATTTGGAGCCAAATTATTAATATAATTCTTACTATCTCTATAATACTAGAATTGAAGGCACAAATTAAAAAGTTACAGCCCTACAAAATCCTCCAGTGTTAGAAACAGAAAGCAAACAATTACAACATTAAGAAATTCCATGAAATCTAAAGTAATTCATAATATAGTTCCTACTGAAACTTTGCTGTAGAACACATGCTAATCATTTGGACTACCAATCCTAGTTCACTCTAAGAAAGTTAGTTTTATCCAAATAGTTAAGCTTGGTTGAAAGCACTGAGTAGAAAAAAGATATTTCATATGAACCAGGAACCACCACTGAAACGTATACTTCAACTACTCAAATCTGGAATGTTTAGAACCTGGCATGTTTTGATACAGAGAGAGATTCTTTTAGTTCTTGAATCCGTAAGTAAATAAAATGTTACTCTTGAGTCTACTTCCCTTCTCTTAGCGGCAAGGAGATCTGTGACTGTAAAACAAACACGATAGGCTCTACAATGCACATATTAATGATTAATAGAGCTTAAAATAACTAGCAAAAAGGAAACAAGTTCCTTAAGCTTATCCAGTAGAGCTGGAAAGCAATATACATCTTGTCAATTACTGTAATAAAGCCATGTCAGCCGATTTCACAATGTTCTTCAGCTTATTGAGGATTCTGGACTTTGGGCTTCCAAATATAGAAGGTTAATCTACAGTCTTTTTATTTTATTTGCTATTACTTTTTAAAGATATATACTTTGAATGGTCCAGCTATGGAAATACTAACATGATGCTAACACGCAAAATAGAGAATATTCAAAGTATCATAAATGTCTATTTTTTTTATTTATAACCTTCCACATCACCATGTATCTGAGGCTAACACAAAAATATATTTCCAGATTATTTTATAACTAAATTTTAAAAACTAAGCAAACATACAACTTACCTCATATTGACAGTCTGATGATGTGTACATTTTTAATAATGCTACATGGCTATCATTTTCTGGTTGAGCAATATGAAGTTTCAGAGAAATTTCTGTGGAAGATGGAACCCTGAAAAAATAAACATCCATTCTCAAATATAATATACTGTTAAACAACCATAGTTAAGTTAATCTTCAACATACACAATGAAATAATGCAAAGAAATCTAGATGCCAGACATGCTGTTATGGATGGATACTTTTCCAGTCATATCATAGTTGTTCGGGTACTCCCTCTAGGGTACAGGAGTTGGGTAAGAGGATGGAAAGGAGTTCATGTTTCAAGCAAATAAGGTTTAAATTCCAAGTCATAAAATAAGAATACTATGCACTATGTTGTTATATTACCTTATGGGCACAATGCTACATAAAGGATGCATGCATTTTACTATGAGGTACTTCAATAACTTCACCAAAATTTAGCTGTGTTTTAAAGAAACCAAGTAGAATACATTATTCAAAAGAATATATACCAAAAAGTTAAAGGTGAATTCCATATACTTACTGTGCAATGGTTAGTGAATCTTCATAAGACCAAGGAATATGAAGTTTATAGATACTAGTTATTTCTTCTGTGAAAACATAAAGGAAATATGTATTACTAACTAATGTTACACTACATGTTATATAAGATATTACAATACCTAATTACATAACTACCCATTTCATAAAAAATGATTAGTAAGAATTATATCATATAATAAGAAATTATGGAGAATTATTAAGTAAAAATGTTTAATTAGACTTACACAGATATTAAAGCATATGGAAAGTACTAATAAACTGGAAAAACATTAAACAGCTAATTACTACTATAATAAGCAAGATAAACAGTATTTTTTAAATGTGGATATTTAAAACACATGAAAATGTTTACTACTAAGAAAGGGTCTATAATAAATCTGTTGGAAGTATAAACAGGTTTTCTGTTACCATATGTTTAATTTTAATTTACATAAATATCTGGAAGAATAAGTATTACAGACAATTCAACAGAAGACCTACTAATTCTTCAAATGACAATACTATTTTTCAAGAATACACTTACCTTTGACTCCTGAGCACTTGCTTACTACGTTGATTTTAAAAGCTTGATATATCTAACAGAGTTTGACCACAAAAAAAAAAAAAATTTTTTTATTTGTGTGTTTAACTACACAGTAAGATAAAATAAAATCCTTGTTATTCAGGATAATTACCTGTCCAAAGTTCAGAAGCTCTAAATTATAGAACAGGCCACTTGTATTTAATATCACTTTCCTTGAAGACAATCCTGTTGAATTAAAAGTACTGTTATTGCTTATAATACCAAACAATAAAAAAAAGTACTGATTGCTTGAACAGCATTTAAATATTGCCAACAAACTTTTAATATTAAAAGAGATTTTACAAGTTGTCAATTCTGGTATGAAGGAATAAACTCCTAAAAATCTGATCCTCCTCTAATAAACTCTGGACAAAATATACCAATCACTTTCAATCACATGCATGTAGTTTAAAAAATCAAGCAAATTTTTCCAATTTCAAAAGGTATGTTTTCTTAGTATATCTCTTTTAATCTTGCTATCTTTAACGAGATAAGTGGTTCAGAGTTGTAATTTCTGTATTGTTATGAGTATTTTTCTACCAAAAAATAAAAGGGTGCAGAAGGGATAAAAATTGTAAGGAAGTTTCCTCCCCTAAGAAACACAGGTTCTTTTGTAAATGGAATATAAATTTTAAAAATATTTAAAGGATGAGACATGCCAAAAGAGCACAGGAGCCACATATAAAGAGCTGCCAATTTCCAAAACTGGAACAACTTAAGCAAAAAACGTTAACAACAGTATTGGATTATAACCTAATGAATAAAATAAATATCCATGAGTAAACATCGACATAAATAAAAACTGAAAAATAAATGGGAAAGAAAGGATAATTTTCCCTTAGGAAGAATTCCAATAAATATAGAATACCAGTAACAACTGTTTCAGACTAAAATGAAGCTATGGATGCTAAATTAGTAGGTTACTTTGAGGAAAACAGGATACTTTCATATTCCCAAGTATCTCCCCCAAGATAGTTTTTAATTACAAAAAGGAAAGTAGTAGCTTTACAGTGGGAACATCAAGCAGACACCACTGTAACCAAGTGATCAAGATTAACATCACTAGTAATTACACACAGTGACATCACATGTCCTTGGAGAAAATACAAAAAAGTACACATTATTTATGTGATACTGTTACTCAAAATGCATAACTTCAATTTAATCATAAGAAAACATTAGACAAATCCACACAGAGGGATATACTATGAAATAACTGACCAGTTCTTTTCAAAGGTGTACAAGTTATAAAAGACAAGGGATGACTGAGGAACTGCAAAAGATTAGAGTAGACTAAGTAGATGACAACTAAACGCAAGGTGGGAGCCTGGAGAAGAACACTGGTGGAAAAACTCATGAAACCTGCAGATAAAGCCTGTAGTTTAATTAATATGGTACCAATGCTAATTTCCTAAGAGTTTCAACGATTGTATTGTTTATGTTGAGGTGAGTGTAGGTGATATGGGAACTCTGTACTCTGGTAACTTTTCTGCAATTCTAAAATTATTTCAAAATAAAATTTAAAAGAACAGTTAGCTATATGTATTTTATCACAATAAAAAAAGGGGAAAATATTGAGAGAAATCTGGAAACTTTCAAAGGGCAGAGAGAAATTTATACCTTATAATAAACCTTTTATAAAAAAGGGCCAATGTGTAGTATAAATTCATATGAGAACATACAAACATGAACACACAGTTACCTGCAAATATATGTGATCATGGAGAAATTTCTTTTAAAGTTCACTTCTCAGAAGATGACTGCTAGCTCAGTATTAAATAAGAATCAAACCACTGAACCACATCATACGGTTATTCTAAGAACTACACTTGAAATACACAATAACATTTAATGTTACAAGGTTCTGCTTTCCTTCAACTGGCAAAATCAGTCAGCACTGTGTTAAAAATAAAGGCAGTTCTTGAAAATTCCCCAAACTGTGAAATACTTACCAAAGGAAAAAAGATGAGTTACAGGAAGCTGTATGGATCTTGTCTCTTTTTTAAAGAATTCACAATCTACAACAAACTGAAATATAAAACATTGACTTATTAGGACAAAATAGAATTAAATTTATAGTAATATTCTTCATTTGACTTTTGAGTGGAATATAAAAGTTTAAAAAAACTGAAGTCTAACCAGCGTTAGAGAAGGCATTACCTATACACACTCTAACTCTGGCTATACTTAGATCACAAGAATTCTGCAAAGAGAGATGCTAAGATAATTAGATGAACAAGCTTAACTTAATTTAATAGATAAATTATTTGAGGGTCATTTCTATAACAAGAGATGTATAGCATTTATTCTAGTTAGTTTTAGGTGTTTGTAGAAAAAGGACCTTAAAGAACAGATCAAAGCATTAAAAGCCAAAGTCAACTCAAGATGAGTGAGGGACTTAGATAATATATATCTGAATACTTTGAGTCCAAAGGAAATGTGATTTTGTAACATTCTTTTTTAAATACCACATTTACTACATATCCACAGTCTAATTAGACTACAAAAGCCTTTTGGAACAGATATTTTGTCATTCATCTACAGATGGCTAATGTTATTTGCATAAGATTTTTTCAGGCTAAACAGTAATTATAGTGAATGGGAAAAAAAAGTTTACTATGTATGATGCACAAGAAAGAAATGCTATCTCAAAAAAAGCCTAAAATGTGACATCTGCATCATTACAATTTTTTGTAATGACGTTTCTTTTCTAATAACATTTCTGCAACATAATAAGAAACTTTGCTCTCAGTTGCCTACAATAAGAATAGTTTCATTAAAATAATCAGCACAATGCAACGAAGTTACTTTGACTTAAAGATGCTGAAAAGGAATTAATCTGATGCCTAACTGTAGCTACCAAGTAATTTGCTGTCTACAGAAAGTGGAAAGCCACTGGGGTCTACCCTAGGCCTTTCCAATAACTACACCTTGGATTGTGTTTGAAGCACTGTTATTTTCTTTGCCTCTTGGGGGGATTTTTTATTGTTTATGAAAGTGAAAAACAGATGCGGCAAAAGGCTTTTAGACTGCAGTACACACATGATGGAATAAAAGGAAAAACTTTATTAAGTTTTACTTTTGTTTTTCACTCTTTACTTACAAGGCAAAGGACATTGTCAGATGTTTTCATTAGAAAAAGCAGCTGTTACAAGATTAAAGAAATCATTTACTGGGCAGGATTATTTATTATATTTTACAAAGTGCTTTGGATGATACATTGAGATAGAGAAGCAATTTTAAATCACTTTGTATAGTTATTTAAAAGAATACAACTGATTTAAAATTTTGATTATTTTTATAGAATAAACCTTTATGCAAAAAAGAAAGAATCCAAGGTTCTGTCTCTGAAATATCCAAAGTAAGCAAATTTCTAGTGTACAATTATTTTTGTCATAAAAAATGCAGATAATTGCATATTTGCATTTCAAAAATTATATTATCAGTTGACTTAAAAACATTTCAAAACGGCCTATTTAAATATATGTATCCTTCTGATGATGGTTTATAATACGCATGCAGAAATTCTGAAGGGCCTAAGTTAACATCCTTGTAAGACTGGATGGGCAACAGTAGAGTCAGGCAGTGTTACTGTCCAAAGAGCATTAATACATATAACATATTTATTAGGCTGCTAAAACTGGTTATTTGTGAAAGGCTCATTGATTTCTTGGAATAAGCAGAGAAGGCCTTTCCAAGTTTGGGAAAAATGTTAAATTCATTCAAAACCAAATTACCTGACAGAAAAACCCTTAAAGAGAGCTTTTAGAATTGAAGATGCTGAATTACCTCTCACTTGAGCTAAGCAAAACAAAACAATGAATCCACTGTAAGGTACTTGTGAGACTCGATCTTTAAGATGACTCCTAACTACACCCCCTTTTTCTTTTTCTTTTAAATTTTGTTAATAATTTTGGCCCAAAATATCATCAACTTTTTTATTCAAGAGACATTTTTTTGGCACTTCTGAGGTAAGACTAAAAGTTGGGTGTGTAAAGTAGAATACTTTGGTTCTTACTCGCAAAGAATTTGCAATATGGTGATGGCAATATGGACATACAGAAATTATAATTCACTGTAATAAATTTCTCAAAGAAGTTATAAATAAAGTATCATGGAGTAAGAAAAGTCCAGAAGAGTAAAATAAGGGATACCTTGTCTAGATATCCAAGGATGAGTTTGTTGGGTGAAATGTGGAAAGGGAAGTAGTAGAAGGTCTTTTTACCTTCATCTTCTTCTTTCCCTCCTGCGACTCTCAAAAATCACCATCCTTTTATTTCTCCTCCCACTTCCCTAGTACAAGTCCTTACAACCCCTTATGAGGTGCCTAGTCTTTTGTTTCTGATTCATCCTATACCATAAATAGATTCATCTTCCAAAATAAATAGCTTGACCCCATTACTACTATGGTGAAAAATCTCTTGGATCCCTACTTACTCCTGAGTTCAATAAAGTCTTGAATCTTCCAAGCAAGGCCCTCCACAACATAGACATGAATTACTTTTCCAGACTTTTCTTCCACTACTCTTCTACCCATGGTTGTCATTTGTAACCTGTTTACTTATTCACTATTTTCCAAATATACCATATGCTTTCACACTTCCATGCTTGGATTTTCACTGTTTCTTTGTCTTAACAGTGCTCTGTTCATTATAACTTTCTGCAATGATGTTACTACGGAGCATCTGGAAGGTGGCTAGTACAACTAATGAATTTTTAATTTTTTTTTCATTTTAATTAATTTAAATTTAAATAGCCACATGTGCTGGTGGCTCCCAATTGGACAGCACAGGTTAATAATGTTTATTCTACCTATAAAAACCGTAACTATCCTTTAAAGCAGTTTTAAATATTACCTCATAATAAAGACTTTCTAAATCCCATCAATCAGCGATATCTTCCCCTTTTTATACTTTTCATGTATTTGCTATATTCTGATTTGTACTATATATTTTAAGGTATTTCTTTTATCCTCACTCTTCCCTTAGCTTCTAAATATTTCTCTCCCTCTACCCTACAGTATGTAGATTTTGAGAATGGGTCTATGTCTTCCTCATTGTGTGCCTCCTATAAGTCCTGGCACAGTCTTGCACATAAATGGGTATTCAATGATTAATAGATTTTGAAAGATTGATAAAGTAGAACTAGATCCCACTTGGAATAAAGAGACTTGAGTTTATTCTGCTTAATTCAAGTTAGAGTAGAGATGATCCTAATGATTTAACAGTCTTAGGTGGATCACCAGACTGGCTATTAGTTTAGAAAAGCCCTCTTTGCTGAAGAATTCATTAAAAAATATTAGCATTTGTAGCCCCAAAACATTCTGATAACAACCTTAATCCATTCATTACCTTACTTCCATGAACAGATGGTACATAAACAACAAGATGCGACAAAGATGGATAGTCCTGAAGTCTTAACATCAGAGACTAAAAAAAAATGAAAATAAAAAGCTGATTTTTATTTCTTAGAGTATACAGATCTTAAAGCATGTTATAAATTACAAACATTTCATAGTTAATAAGTTATAAAAAAACTGATTTCAAACTCTATGTTCAGTACTTCATAAAATACCCATGTTTACATTTTCTGGTTAATAATCCTACTGAAAGTCAAATTCCTAATAATTATGTAAATATAGATTGCCAAAAATATTCCTTGAACTGTATCCCTTTTATTAAAACAAATGACATTTAACACTAAATTATTTTACATAATTATTTCCAGGTTTTGTGTCTTCTATACTTTTTCTATTTGTTTTGTATAACGTTACAGTATGACTTTTCCATTTATTTTGTTAGTATATGACAATAGTCGATGAAGAGTTGCGACTTAATCTCAAATAATTCTGCTATAGCCCAAGTCACAAGGAGTTGCTGGCTAAGATGTATATGAATATCATCCCCAGGAACTTAATAAGTGACATGAAGATATAATAAGGCTAATAATGTACTTAACCAAATGAACATCTGTTTTCTTCTCAAAATTAAGACCAGATCCTATAGTCCATATTTTGAAGAATGAATAAATAGGAGACTGGTATGTTTAATGAAAACACCAAGCAACCAAATACAGTTCTTAAAGTCACTTTTTTCTGGAAGTAGATATGGGGTGAGAGTAGTTATATGTTGTTAACAATTTGTAAGCAATTAGAATTTCTGTAGACACTTAATTTTCTCCACTGTTTTTCAGAACCAGCTATGTGACCAAGTGGAACAGAGATGCTGCACCTAAAGAACTGTCAATAAATGGCCCTCTAACAACCTGACAAGATTTACCTGGGAGTGGTAGTTAAACTCGTGGGCTCACCTCAATTTATTAGGAGAAGTCTCTGCAACAAACTTTTATGTTTTAATGTAAATTAAAGGGCCTTAAAAGGGCCATACAAATGACAGCTGTGGCAGCTGAGACCAACCAGACAGTAGACAGTATGAAAGATAAATTAATTTGAAAGAACCACCACAGTTACTCTGTATAGATGTCTACTCTAATAGTTTTTGTTATTTATTCTCAAGAATAATTTTTTAAGAAGTTTTTTTTCAGAATCAGAATACTTAAAAAAGTATCAATGCCAAAATCCATTCCCATATAAAGTTAAGTTCCCATATAGTTATAATGTCAATAAGAATTTGACAATACAATAATAGTCATGAGATATTATACTGACAGGTAAGGTTAATACGAAGTTTGGAAATTTTTTAGTGTTTTAAGGGTAAAATGTCCTTACTGCTGAGGCAACACACACAGAAAATCAAACACCAGCATTAGATATCAGAAACCATTCAAGTTCTGCAGCTCTATGTAGGAACAAAGCTGTGGTGCTAAAGTATGATTTAGATGAAATAGTGACTGGGTAATTTTTCTCATATAACTTAGATTTCTTTTGAAAGTTAATTTTTTAATTTCTTTTCAGCAATAATTCCATTTGGACTTACCAAATTCTTGGCATGCCATGCTGTGTGTGTGTCTTTAGAAACTTCTTCATTGTACCCATGATAGAAAAGTTTCATGTAACTGGTATTTAAAAATCGAATTTGTGCTTTGCTGGAGGCTTCCATCTACTTATCAACAGTTTCAGTCATCAGAAATGCCAAAAGTGGTATGATTCTCCTCTGACATCACTTTTGTTGAGATGATATGAATACAATCCATGAAATTTTTTCATTTTAATCTTTCCTTTCCGCTTCACTTCATGACAAAATAATTTTGTGTGCTTTTTATAAATGGCTAACACACATTACATATAATTTTGATTTTCACTACAAGTTTATTTAAGCTTACTAATCAAATCTTCTTAAACCAAGAAAACCTGACATTGCAGAATATATAATCATTGTTTTCTAAGATTTATTCTTTGTTTCCCCCCTCTAAATTACAGTAGGCTTTTAATGGCGCCTGGAAATCTCTAGCATTCAGCATGAAAAGTACGTGGCTGAAATACTGTTCTGCTGTTCAGCCAGCTGTTTCTCACATTTAGAATAAACAAGGGGGGGTGAACTAGAATTAGATGAATACATTTTTTCATCTTTGAAATTTTAAAAATAAGATTTTATGATTTAATAACTTAAAAAATACAAACAAAGTAACATTTATCAACTTTTTAATCACTTATTTCTTCCTCTTATAGACTGAGTATGATATCCAAATTGGAAACTCAAGGAAATATTTAACATACTTTATAAAAATTAATTGGTCAGTAAGTATATACTAATACTTTTGTTTGTTTTTCTCCTGCCTACATGGTTAGGCTAGAACCAGTGAGAGACCTTAAAAATGTTCATGAGTCAAATCACTTCCCTATGATACTCATCTCATAAATACACTACATCAATGAATATGCACAAAGTAAGACTGACCAAGGTGAAAGAAATAATAAAAAGAAAGAAAGAAAGAAAGAAAGAAAGAAAGAAAGAAAGAAAGAAAGAAAGAAAGAAAGAAAGAAAGAAAGAAAGAAAGAAAGAAAGAAAGAAAGTCAAGTGTTAAGTGACCTGGCAATTATTCATTCTATAATCATTCCTCTCTGCTAGTATGTTTAGGTTCCTCTCTGTTGGTATAGTACAAAGTTGACTATGTATACAGATAAATATAAATATCCATGAGCACAAGTAACTAACAGAATTGAAGTGGGAGATAACTGGGACCAACCAGATGACTTCACTTTCAAGTCTATGAGTCTAGTGTTCATTATGAAAACATATTTTCCTTTTAAAGTACAGATTTACTTGAAAACTAAAAACTATCAATTCTGGCATAAGATTATCAGTTATAATAAATACAATTTGGAAATTAGATATTTTCATCAAGTTTTAGAGTTGTTACATTTTCTCAACAATACATTTTGAGATTATACAACTTAGCCTTTGTAAAAAAGACTTGCTGACCAACCAGAGTTCCTTAAGGAAATCATTAACAATTATTAAATCCCATGGAGTACTAGATAAAGTAGACAGTTATCCAAGTGCCTGACAACAAGTGATGCTGAGGTTGATATGCAAAATTACTTTGTGTCTCCTTAAGATGCTCAGTTCCCTACAGTAGGCCCTCTCCCAAAATAAATTCTGAGTATACTACTCAGAGCTTACACTTTAAGACAGATTATTCCAAACATACTCTCGAATTGAATTAAAAACTTTATCTAGCTCTTGATATAATTCCTCAACATATAGATTTTATATTTAGATGATTTTTAATAGAGTTTACCTCTGAAAACTAGAAAAAAAAACTACTGTTATTCTCCATCAAATGTATTTCTAGAGAAAATATTTCTAAAATGTATGTTAGCAAACCTCAAGTTTAATACCTGGATGAATAGAAGAACATATTCTAAAATGCCCATAGGCTCATGTATTTAACTCAGACATTAAAATTCTAAAACCATAATTTACCTTAATTGTAGGCAGTAATTCAGCTTTCCATGATAAATCAACCCCTTGCCGGCTTTAAAATAAATATAAAATATAATTAAAGGACAAAAATATTAAAGCATTATAAATTGTAAACAAAGTTCAGAATAAAAAGGAACCATCTTCAGACCCATAAGTCTAATTCAACAAACATACTCTCTCCACAAAGTTCCTTTGGGAACAAAAAAATTATTTTTCCTAGCAATGATTTCAATGTTTGCAAAAATTACTGCAATGTTAATTTCCTTTATTTTTAATTTAAGATCAATACTGTAATTTAGTACAGCAGCAAAATGAGCTTAAGAATGTATGAAGCCATTCTAAAAATGTGATTTGTGAGTATTGTTCTTATCAAAAAAATTACCAATGGTTCATTTGTCTCAGGTTCAGAAGACTTACCACATAGAAGTGCTGTTAATGCAGCCAAAAATCCAACTATTTGTATCCTATTAATAACAAAACAAAGCACACTAAATATTATAGCAAATAATTATAGAAAATAGGAATCTTCAACATTTTACTGTTATATGATAGGTCAGTAGGCACAATGGAAACAAAATAACAACCTGTTATTTAGAAACTATCCAAGATTCCCAAAAGTCAAATAGCTCAAAGGTTGGCAAAGAAGTCTAATGTCAATATAAGTAAGCCAGTAAACTAGAGCAACAGTATGAGAAAGCATGCCCTGATGGGTACCTCTCCACAGCATACTGCCTAAGCAATTCTAATTTTTGAACCAATACTTGCAAAGTTTGGCTATGTCCACATAGGCAGACCTCAGACATATTGCACATTCAGTTCCAGACCACTGCAATAAAGCTAATATTGCAAAAAAGCAAGTCAAATGAATTTTTTGGTTTCCCTGTGTATATAAAAGTTAAGTGTACATTATATTGTCGTCTATTAAGTGTGTTATAGCATTATGTCTTAAAATATAAGATATATAACTTAAAAAACTTTATTGCTAAAAATATTGCTACCATCATCTGAGCTTTCAGTGAATCATAATCTTTGTTGCCATTGGAGGGTCTTGTCTCAATGTTAATGGCTGCTGACTGATCAGGGTGCTAGTTGCTAAAGGCTGTGGTGGTAGTGGCAATTTCTTAAAATCAGACAACAATGAAATCTGCTATATTGATTGGCTCTTTCTTTTTACAAGAGATTTCTCTGTACTGTGTGATACTGTCTGGCAGCATTTTATCCACAACAGTACTTCTTTCAAAACTGGGAGTCAATCCCTGTAAACCCTGCTGCTGCTTTATCAACAATATCAGTAATATTCTAAATCCCTTGTTGTCATTTCAACAATCTTTACAGCATCTTCACCAACAGTAGATTCCACCTCAAGAAACCACATTCTTAGTTCCTCCATAAGAAACAACTCCTCATCCATTCCAGTTTGATCATGAGATTCCAGCAATTCACTTACATCTTCAGGCTC